GTTTGCTGAATCAGCATAAATTAAACATGTACTGGCTGAAGATACACCTGAGGCCAGTGAAGCACATTAAACCGTGTAGTCATGATGATAATCATAGTAATCACTACGATATTAACTGTAGTACTAACCGTATTCTGAGAGATATTTTGAGAATGCTTTACTGAACTTTCAGCATATAATATAACATCAGTTGGACAGAAACATCGTATACACATCATAATATTAAGCCAGTATTGAATATATCATACATAAATATTCTCCATCGACAACTACACTTAGGTGGACAGTCATAACAATAATTATATTCATAATACACAAATGATAGCTAGCTGCATAATAATTAGTAAGATTGTTTAAAATTGGTTGATTAGTTAATTCACTTCTACCACTTACATGCTCGCAAAAGATGCGAGCTAAACAAGGTATGGTGGAGTTTTTATACATGGAAGTAGGTACACAAAGTGTTATACAGTTGCTCGTGGTTTTGTTCGAGAACTGTAGTGTAGAAGCATTCGAGTGTGGGAAACACAGACAGCTCCAATTAGATGTCTACATGGGTTACTTGAGGTAAGCATTCATAACACTGCTAGTTTTTAAAAGGTTCATCGTATGCCACTAGCACAACCATGCAAAACAGAATATTGGTTTATCATTAATCCAGGAAGGGGAAAAGAGTAGTAAAATCTCAGTTATTGCTTTGATTCACTGACATGTGTAATATGGTACATCAGCACCATGAAAAAAGTAACAGGCATTGCTGTGTAACCTATGAGGTTGCCACACCTCATATCCACACATTCAGTAACAGGGAATTAAAATAGAAGATGAATAGAGAAAGAAACAACGGTGTAAAGAAGTGGAAGGTAGTGAAGCAGAGGGAGGACGAATGAAGAAATGATGAGCTAAGGTACTGCGTTTAGATGAGGATAATTGCTTCATACATCTGCCCCACTGACATCGGTTCTGAGGTATATCACGTAGAGTCTCCAGCCACTGGATTCTCTTGTACTGCGGACCTCAACCAGTTAGTCTGCATCACCCTACATGACTGAAACTAACAGCCAACTTCTCAGTACATCGATGCCATGTTGTAGTTCGGCTGCTCCAAACCGTTTTTCTAGCTGAAACTGACTTCACGCAATGCCATACGACGAGGTAGATGATGGCTAGTCATACGTAACACATGTCCCAGCCATCTCAGTCGATGAAGGTTCACAAGCAAATCTATTGACATACATCTCTCGAAAACCTTATGTTTGTTTTCTGCGTTAGTCTTATGTTGATAGCACGAAAAATGGCCTAAACTAAGGTCACTTTGGTCAAAGGTATGAAGCTTTCTCATGTCTCATAATTTGAATGACCATGTCTCATATTCATACAGCTGAACAGAACGGTTTGTAGCGGTGTGTACTCAATCCTATGTGAGGATGCGTGTGTTGCATCGGTTGGCGTGAGTTGTCGATGGATAACCAAGCCTTTTGTATCTGCGCAGAAATTTCGTCGCTGCTGACCTAGCTTCTCAGTTCAGTGGCGTTTTCAACGCATACAAACACTTCACTTTGCATGGCAAAGCACAGAACTGATGAAGACTAGTCTTGGAGGATTGATTTGCATTTAGCTGGCGTGAAATGCATTCATTAACATTCTCAATTTGCTATTCGATGTGTCCAGAAAACTCTGCCTCTTTTCAGCGTCTGTACCTAACAGGACTATGACGCCTATGTATCCCAAGTCTTTCAAGTTTTATCCTGTGATTAGGTCAATCCGTTTACAGTCAGATGACGGGAGAAGACCTCCATAAGAAGGTCTGTGACAATATTGGGTGGGAATGAAGAGATTGGACATCCGTGATGAACACCAGTCGACGAAGATGGCTCGGTTTACATCCCACCACAGGCTCTAGCACCATTACATGTTTTTGAGCACAGAGTTTCCAATGAACGCATGTGTTTACTCGTCACCGTTTCCACCGAGATATATGGACTTCTTGATCTATGAATTCGAATACCGTTTCCAGGTCGAGAAATGCAGCTTTTGTCGGGCGCTGGTGAGCTTGTCTGTGTTTCGAACCTGGTGGAATGTGAATATTTGGTTGACACACATACACCAAGGTCTGCAACCTGCCTGGTTTTCTCAGGCTTGCTATTTCTGAGCTCCACTCAGCCGTCACAGAATTATGGAACCTAGATTCCTAGAAACTACCTCCGTCAGGCTGATTGCTCCGTGGTTTTCACAAGAGGACGTTTCCCCTTTCTTGAAGACTGGGTTAATCAGTGATTGAGATTGAGTATCATACTTGACTCCCATTTGCTGGTTAACACTTCAGTTAAGTTGAGTAAGAACATTCTACAGCCGTCCTTATATACCTCAGGAACTAGTCCATCTGTACCTGCTGCCCTTCCTCGTTTCAAGTTATCTACAGCTTTCTCGACTTCTGCAGGTGTTGGAGGTAATTTATCTCAGTGTTCCTTTCAGGATCCGACTGGATTTCGGGCAATGGAACAGTGGCTGGAGACAAGTTGAACCGTTCCTTCACATGTTCTTCCCATCGCTCTAATTATCTCTCCTGCGAGTGAATCATAGATACATTCTTCGCTGGTATGGTCTCGCTAACGGTTGATTTTTTCACCCTACTTTCCCTAATTATTCTAAATAACTGTCTTCTGCTATCTATCACCGCAACCTTTTCGGTCTCTTTAGCCTTCTCTGACCACTACTGTTCGCGGTCATTGCACAACTTTTGATGAACACAACTGATACATTTATACTTTGTTTTACATTGAGTTCTACGTTCTTAAAGATTACCAGTCTATGCATGTTGAAGAAGAGACAAAGAAACCAATAACAATTCAAAACTGCTCGTGAACATAAGTTTATGATGTTATTACTGAAGACGGCATCATTTTTAATGCTTTTTCTATAAAGTATTGTATAGAATGAGGTTCTGTAACTCAATACTTTCACTTTGTCACAAAAGTCTCCTCTTCAAAAAGAGCACCGTAGTTTTGATTCTCAACTCGTACAATTAAGTAGTTATTCTTGATGGCTGCATGTTCTTCCAAAAATATCAGCTCCTAAAATTGTCGCACCATTATTCGTTCGTAAAATATCATATTCGTGTATACTAGTCATGAATTATACAAGTCAGGATTTGGAGGAAATTCTTGCATCAAAAGGAGAACAGCAGAACACACATACATGCATGAAACATACACGAAAGAGTTGCTGGACTATTCAGAATTCTTTTGATGAAGATGACAGTGCAAGCAGCAGTATCAACGAAGTGACTCCTGGTTACGATTATACTGAGTCTGAAAATTTGAATGATGAGTAGCTAGCACCTCAAGGAACACTCTGCATGTAATGGAATTATAAATCAGATATAAAATCACGAGCTACTTCATAACAATACTTTCCTCAATAGTCCTGACTCTATGGATACTGGTGAAAGACCATAACTAGTTTTCTTCGTTCTTGTGAAGAAAGAAATCAGCGAGAAGACATTGGATGTACTTAAAACAGTATGGGAACACTTGTTCTTGCCGAGTGGTCGGTTTTCCGTGCGATTCAACATTGGGTGGTAACTGAACAGTTTCTTCCTTGCCAGAAAATGTTTCTGAGCAATCGTGATTGAAATTCACTATCTTTCGCAACCTTTAGCACCTTTACCTAGTGGCTAGTTATTCTGCTGAATATCATGTCCTATGAAGTAAACATAATGTCAAACCATAAAACACGTTTACTCAAGAAAATTGGTTACAACTATTACCTCACAGCTTAGAAAGTTAAATCGCTAAACAAATCGGTTTACCTAACAATGGTTTGTTTTCGTACATTCTAGTGATTCACAAGGTAATGATTTGTCGAAGACTTACACTCTAGCGCTAACAGTTATTTCAAGTATGCAATCATCGAAGGATTTTCACTTCTTGAAGCCCATTTAAGATACTCTGAAGAATCGATAAGCTGCTCAGTGGTCTGTTACACAGCTGGAACAATTAATTCGTGAGGCTAAACAACAAACAATTCTTACAAAATGTTGGTGATATATTAGTAGATATTAGTTATCATCAATATTCCCAGAAATATTCGGGAACAACTCTCAAACTTTGAGATATTTTTGACTCATATTCATTCAATTATCCGTTATTGGAAGATATAGAATTGGATGCCAGAAACAAGACAAGTCTTGAAAAACTTGCAGTCGGTCATCTAAAACACAAGCAAAGGTGGGAGATATTTAGGCCAATTAAAAGCTTTATCTGTTGTTACCATTTGCTGTACACCATAGTGCCAAGTTCACGGATTAAAATATGGTGGTTTTTTGGGATTAAACTAGAAAATGACTAGCATCCTTTCGTACGTTTATTCACTTAATGCCTTCAAAACAACATTTTCAGTAGTACTAGCTTCACCAATCATTCCAAAAGTGAATTATAGTGAGTGCCAAACTAAGTTTCAAGTGTTAATTCCGATCTGTCTCTGATGAATTTCGATAAACATTATAATGGTTTAGTACCTTAAAGTACTACATAATGTTGGCTTGATAATTCCTTGAAGGAATATTAGGTGCTGCAGAGAATTACTTTCTCTTAGATATTTCGATCAGTTGAAGCAGTGAGTTAATTTATAGTAATGTGTAGGTTAATTCATAAAATTGTTGCACCACACCAGAATGTAATGATATGCACAGCATGCATGATTTTCACAAGGATCAATTTGATCGTCACTAAATAATGAAAATGGCAGGCATGGTTACTTGAGTAACATTCTTACTCATTCATCATCTATTTACATTCAAAATTTCTAAAGTGCTTGCATAATTCAAGAGTCGATTGTAGTGTAATTGACAAACTGAATAGTAACTTTATGAACTGTTAGCTGATCTATCGCTTTCTGGTTGGATAACAAAGAAGCACATGTTGTATTTATGCATGTCTTCGTAAACATTTCTGTCAAATTATCACTAAATACTCAATTCTTTTACATATTCTCGTATTATGTGCAATATGAACCAAAATTGGAAATATTTTGGAATACTGCTTTATATTCTATTGAATATTCTGAACAGATGTAAGTAATAAATTATCATTTTGACTATCTGAGATAGCCGTGGTTTGGCGGACTACCCAAATCAATCATCACCCATTATCAATAAGTAATAAAGTTCAATGACACTTATACAGGAGTAAAACTTGAGCAATGTGGTAGATTAAAATTCCATTTTAATATATTTTATAAAAATATCACACAGTGAAACAGTATGATTTACTGGATAAGGTTTTGAACGTAATTTATTGTATACGGTCAAATCATGTGACTTGACATGAATATGGGTAGTAAATTATGTCCGAAGCGTTATCCAATAATCTGATGACACTTAGTGTTATGAATTTATTCTCTTCTGCTATAAATTGGTAGCATTGAGAGATTCGAGTGTGAATGTCTGCAAGTCCTTCACACTCTCAAATATTGACATATTCATAAGTTGTCTGCAATGTCATTTATCATTTTGAACAGAATATTAGAGTTGAAAAATACGTTCTACGCTTGATAAATATTCAGATGAGCGGTATTCCCGATACTTTGATAAAAGAAGCTAGCATTTTTGAAGTGAACTGTTGGTATCTATAAAATGCAAGGAGGTGAAAAGAAGAGGATCAATATTCTTGCTTTGCACTCACTGTTTGGGATCAGTCTGCAAATACATCAATATGTTGCAATGAATTATTAACCTAGTGTTGACTGATACAGTAGATTAATCATCGGTTATCTAATTCCATGTGTAAATCAACACGTCAACACTTCTTGGTTGAAACATCTCATGTAATTGAATTTCATAGGTTGCTTCCAACCACCGAAATGGGAAACAATAAGATTCTAATTTCACACAATGAGTCGTTAGACTTAAATTATTTGTTTCCATTTACCGAAATTTGGGAACAATCTCAGTATTTGAACACTTCAAACACTGTAGAACGCATTAGGAATTCGGGGTAGATAGAGTGATGTCAGACGAGATTATATTTGACTTATATATTGTTGGATTTTGTGAAAAATGGACAGTATTCTTATATGTGGCTCTATGGATTCCCTAACTATAGTTCCTGTGGTAATCAGGTGGCAACTGGATACCTTCGGGTATTTAAGGGAAACTCCAAAACATGTCAAATTCTTGTGTTTATGTAAAAGTTACCAGAAATAGTGTTTTCTAGTCTATACTGCAGTCAGGTTGCATGACGAAATAAAAGGAGTGAGAATCAGCCGATCACACAAAAGATTGGCGGGGCAGAAACGCAGTCAGTGCTGAAGTCACATCCATTCTGTTGCTTTGTAAGACATCCGACGAAAAGATGATTAACTGCTAAGAGTATGCAAATTTTGAAGGATTTTGTCATTCTAATTATTGCCTTTACTGATGCCTTTTCATACATGCTTCCCGAATTCGCCCTGCCATAATGATACCAAATAATCATGCTGGATAATTTGTCAAAGCGGCGCCTATTGTTTGACGAGAATTTTTCATTTTATATTTACGTTATCTCTGTTTACCGATAATCACAAAGTGAATATTTGGATAAGCTTTTGTTCTTCCTTAAGATAAAATTGCACATTCTTTGGAAATTTCTGGTAAGCTAGAACTCATTTACGGGATTATGTGCAAACAATAAGCTGTAATAATTCTAAGAAGTGAGGAAAATCAGAAATATTCATTACTGATAATAACGTGGTGTTATTACATTTATTGCTCACTCCTTCTAAGTAAAGATAGATTAGTACGGAGTCTGAGAGCGCATCCTCATCTTGAAGATGCTAACAGATCAGTATCAGTGGAAGGACGTATAGATACCAAGAAACAATCCACTAACAACAACCATTGTTTTACACGCTTGAAACAAACAGTATTGTTTCCACTGAATGACTCAAGATATATTGTTCCAATGAAAACTTATTGGACATTTCTAGCTCATAAGTGCATTATAATAAGGGTTGGATTCTTCTCCCTGGCTTGCTTGGTTTCCAATAAAATGTGAAACAACAGAAAAATACTTCATCATAAGTCCTCGTGGTCCTTATAACCTAATAGCTATGTCTTTTCCTTTTGCATGCGCAGATCACTGCCGAACTACCAGGTGCTACACTTGCACGTCCTGTCCTGAAATAAATAGCGAAGCGAAAATAATGAATAATTGCCTGGCGTGTTCGGTAAGTTTAGTTTTCGATAACGTGAGATTCATGTCAAAAGACCAACAGCACAGATGTTCGTAGAAAATAAGTTCTTAGTTTTATTTGGCGTCTTTGACCTAGAAAGTGCAGTGTGGGAAGTCAAATGATCAAAACTGTCTTTTACTCTCTTCTCCAAAAGTTATTGTACCAGTTACCTATGAGCCTGTAATGTTTCGAAAAAAGAGATGAGTGAAGGCTAAGTACATTCTGAAGATGAAGTATGTTACCCAGGTACCTCTCAGAGGTGAAAACACTACCAGAAGCCAGGTAAACATGCTAGTGGTGTAGAAGACATCCGAAGTGAGAATATGAAATAATGTTTTTTCTACCTACAGAGATCAGGCTATAATTGATGAATCACTGACGTTTTTATTGTATATGTGATAGGAAAACCGAAAGCGTCTTCATGATTGCCTCCATCCAACTAACATGTTTGGAATTACTCGGCATAACTTTGTTGTTATCTTCAGACGACAACTCTTGCCGAGCTGTGTGTGTCGAACTGATGAAATGTATGTTATTCAAACTGCTATTCAAAATTTTCTGATTCATGGATGTATCTACCTTAAAATGTTACATGATTCCCTTTAGTGGGGTATGTGTAATCTTTATATCCAAGATAACAAGCTTATCATCTATGTCGAGAAGCGGTAGACATTAAGATATGATTTCGATCTGTTTGCGTCAAATTTTCTAAGAGACAGTTAAATTAAATCTATAGAAAGAACTGTCCCTGACTATTTCAGCGCTCAAATATCCTTTCCATAATTCACTCTCAAACTATGATTTATTTTCTGTCAATGCATAGCTTATTGTTACGCTTCAATTCATGGTATTATTGAGGAAAAAAAGATTTTATTTTACGATATAATACAGATGTGTCATTGCCTAAGAAATGTTCACTTCATCACTGCTATCTTCGTGGAATGCACATTCATCTAACAGATAAAATCAGATTATACACACTACCTTCCCCACAAATTTTACGTTCACATCAACCATACTTAAGGATTTTTTCAAATAGTTTATTAATGTGAACATAAAAGATATGGTGATATGGTTTCATATTTATTGATATACTATAAAAATACAAAGTCACACTTATTTGACAGCTGGTTTTTCTATCTAAACTTCAAGGACTAAAGTTCCATAAACCTAGTTAGGTGAAATGATAACAAACCGAAAAATATCATTTTTTTGCCCACTGTTTTCAATGATTCAAGTGAGAAAACTAATCTATATCTATTCAAAATTTAATTGCAGTCTTACGGAAACTATCCTAATATTTACAGAGAATGCCTAGCTGACAATCAGAGTCTAAATAATTTTACAAGAAGATTTCGAAAATTACCGTGTTTTGGAGACCTATGTAATGGCATAAAGTACGTGTATATTTTGCCAAGTGGAAAAATCCGTAAGTGACAGAATAAAAAAACGTGATCTATAACTTTATTATTTTTTTTATCGTAGCACTTTTCTCTTTATGCTTTTTCTTGCCGCTACCTGCCCTCAAGATTTGTTGTTCACATGAACTTGACTGAACCCCTATAGGGCCTTCCTAATTTTGATAGATTATTCACTGGAAGAAATATTTTATTCTGTTTCGTATTATACGACCAATTAAAACTACCGGAGAAAGATATTAGCGTCTTTCATCAAAAACAGCTTTCCAATATTCCTGTTCACACATTCTTTTCAAGACTGACTGACAGAAAATATTTTCCTCCGGTTCACTGTTACCAATGACTTTATACTAAGATGTCTATTTCAGTGATTATTATTGGAATTTCATTTTTTCCTCATTAAGTTATCCAACAATGGTTAAGAAATCAGATTTACTGATTAGGTTATTAGCCACAGAAACGAATGCGCAGATTAGTAAATGGGTTAGTTATGCAGTGCTAGCAAAAGTGTAGAAACGAAGAGGAAACAACCTCTCTTAACTGCCGACTTACAGCCATTTACAAGGAAACAAAGTTTTCGTCACATGCACACGTGTAAACACTAATTAAGTGTCTATATCAGGGTGACAGAGAAAATAGTAGTCAAAACTGCTGAGATCAAAAACAAGAGGTTGTCATTATGATTATTTTGACTTCATTCACTCAAATAAAAGTCGGAAGAAAGTTAAATTTGATAGGGAGAGCAATGAGAAGTGTTGTAGAAACTTATTTTCCATACCAAGATGTGGCTTATAAAAAGACTACCGATGGCTTAGGCAACGATTAATAAACGCATGTGCATACCACGTAGAAGAATGGATAGCATTCTCGTAATAAGTGTTAACGTCTTTTCGCTTATCCACTTGATGAATCATGTTCACTAGATGAGTAAGCATGGTACTTTATGTTTTCATTTCTCCTATCCTGAAACGTGACAGATTATTTATTCTTATTTGTCCTTTGCATTCCTAGTTAAATATTGGGCTTCAGTCGCACGTCGCTATTTCAGTCTCTTCTCTGCAGTCTTCTAAACCTGACACCACAACTGCCCACAAGCTTTTATTTCTTCCCCACATCATCTCCTCCACGTCATCTCGGATGTCCTACTCGTCGTTTCTCATCTAGGTTCCACTTGAGGGCGTAGTCTGTCGCGTGATGTCTCCAAATGATCTCAGTGTATGCTCAGTCCATCTCCACTTTCTTCTGCATATTCGCTGGGCGTTAAAATCTTGGTTGGTTCGTTGCCAGGGAGAGTTCCTTCTTTCCGGCCATCTAGTCTTGAGTATCGAGCGTAAACGGCTGTTGATGCATGTCTGTAGTTTGTTGGAAATGTTTTTCGTAACGCACCAAGTCTCTCAATCATCGCACAGAAGCACTGACTTCACTAAATTAGTTTTGAAAATCCCGATCTTATTCATCCACGCTTTATGCTGAGTGAAGTGCAGTAGATCTCCACGCTGTCTTGCTTTCCCGATCGTGGCTTTCAGATCCTCATCG